AGTTCATAGAAAGGCGTGAGAATATTCACAATAACAATAACCCACCATGACCTAATCAATGTCCGCCGTACTGGAAGAGAATGGTTCGCTGTAATTCCCATAACTCAAGACGAACATAAATTCAACGCTGACTCAGGCCAAGAAAGACTTCTCCGTTGAGTGTGCAGATTCCTTAATGAAGGGTGGATGGAGAGGAGGCGTGAGGGAAGTGAGCTCGTATTTAAGTCGATGAGGTCGTGCTCACCCCGCGGGGAAATCTATAAAAATAGAAAATTTTCGGAAAGTTGGTCGGTTCTTCTTGTTTTGGTGCAGTGTACCTCTTTCGAAGACGGGTTCTCCTTTGTGGAAAGTGATGATGAAAAGGCACCTCTAGATTGAACGCTGGTGAGGTCCTATAAGAGGCCGCAGTGAAGGAGGTCGCGCTAATGGACCATTTTCTCCATGTTGTCGTGATGTAGTTTGTTTGCCTTCTCCTTATACCACTTCTACTGAGATTTGAAGTGGCATTTTGAACACTATATCTGGCACACTTTCACGGGCCAGCGAGTATGTCCAAGTCACGGTTTTTGTCCTTTCAGACAAGTCCGGAGGTAACTGACTGACCCAGATGGCATGGAATTCTTGGATGCCCCGAAAAGAAGCAAATCCGAGAGTACACTCCATGGTAAGAGGAGCTACTAGGCACTGTACGACTGCCTCAAAAACGCTAACATAAAAATAGAACTTTTGGAAACACAGTGTTGCTCGTTGACGACCCTCAGTGAGTAGCGATGCTCTCTCCACTTATACCGTCTGAAGATTAAATCTTGCCCGACTTCATGCATGGCTTATGGAGACTAAACGGCATTAGTTTTGGGCGATGTTAGGTTCGAAGGGGGCATTTTGCACTTTCGCTAGTTCGTTTTGTTAGTTCATGTTCGAAGAAGATCTCTTTGGTGCAACATAGACTCTTGTGACGCTGCGGAATGGTACAAGTGCTCTATTTACGTTGGTTGAAGGAATTCACAGGTCTTCACAGTGTATCCTGAACAGGCTTGACTGAGCACCATCTGATGACCCCACCGAGCCGAACTGCGCCCTAGATTTGCTAAGAAGAACACAGTGTTTAACGATGCTGGCATTTGATACTCGTGGTTGAGCCTTCACACACGCTTCTAAACCCCTCGACTGAGAAGTCTGATTTTAATTCGCTGCCAAATTCACTCGCACAACGATCCACTGAATAAAAGTGAAATGGTTGCCATCCCTTCCAAGGTATGTTCGGCAATTAACGGTGAAGTTCATCCCTCCCTGCGAGCAAGAAGCCCGGCCTGCAGTGCCTGTTGTTGTACCTCTTTTTTAGCGAGTGCAAAATGGGCAGTGGTGCCGGGCCCTATGCGCTCGTTCCTCTCATCGGCTCAGCCCATCGCCCTAATCCCACATGAACCTGCCTTCCCATTTGTATTGGGAGGAGCCATAACAACGAATACAGTTCAAAAAAACGTCTGGACAGAGACATTGTTGTCATCAGAAAGTCAGTGGCCATATCGATTCACCGTTGGTTGCTGATGAACTCATACGACGCGACCTCTCTCCTCTGTCATGGCGTGCAAACTTGTTCAATGGGAGTCTTATTTCGGGTATCTGCGACTATTTTCCCTGGCGTTTTCTGCCCTACTAAATTTCTTGACACCTTGATATTCATATTTCAACCCCCTCAGCCGAGATTTTCGGTTGCGGGCTCGACTTTTCTGCGCTCTGCTCGCGGGCATCTTATTCATGGAGCTCAGACCCACTGAATCACTTCAGAATGTACAATTGTGGGGAGAGGATAGTCCGAACAAGATGTCTCGATTAGGGGATCAATCCATCACTTTAGTGATATCTGTAAAGTTTCCGGCACTGGCGGATTTAGGGCATATATCATTTACTTGCGCCCGATAGTCGGGCACGTCTATGCTATCCTTTCATTTGTCGACCAGATGGCCTACTTCTTGAGAATTTCTCTAGAAAACATCAGGTCACGTCGCGCTACGCCGCGTGGTTTCCCAAAATGCATATGATGTTGCTGAAAACGAGATTAAAAGGCCGCCAATTTAGTATGCATTTATTACCTGGAAAAAAAAAATTTCTTTCTAACACAAATGCCAAAAATTCACTGCGAAAGATCTAGAAAGCGAATGCATTACGAGCCACCTCGAGAAACTAAGAAAAAAAGCGACACACATTCAAAAACAAACAGCATATAAAATTACAAAATTCGACCCTTAATGTTCGCCAACTGGGGCGCGAAAAATCCTCTTCAGGATGAGAGAGGAAAAGGCGTCTCCAGCAGCTTATAACTATATTTCTCTTCCTATGTTACCCATGGAAGAGAATGAAAAAATGAAGGACATTCAGATGAGCAATCAGTATATGCGAGAGACTGAAGGAAATCGATTATCGATTAACTAGTGCTGGCGAAGTCGACGAGCTCTCTTTCTCTTTTTCAACTTTCGGTTGTAGTAGCCGCCGTTTTCGTTATTTGTGAAAGTTTCCTCTACGACCATGCTACTCGACGGCTCTCTGTAAAGATTTTACTGGTTATCTTTCCACTGTCCCTAATAGACACTACTTCCACTCACATTTTTTGGAGAGCTGGAGTCGTCGCTTCCTCCTCTTTCTTCTTTTCCTGCTCCACGTTCCGATCTTCACGTGGTGCCGGTATTTTTCCATTCACATACTACGCATAAACACTTCAGTATCCTGCCGCCAGACACATGTACCAGCCGGCTGCTACCTATAGAGGAAACATTAGTTCGTGGCAATCAGGCCCACTGTGAGGAGGCCAAAGAGATCATTCAGTACGTACCAGCTGGTCCTTCTTCACCCATGGGTCCAGCTGGACCAGGTATTCCCATCGGTCCCGGAGCTCCTGGCGGTCCAGGCCAACCTTTTTCACCAGGTGTGCCAGGATAACCATCCTCCTCAAGCGCGGCCATAGCAGCATTTCCGTAGGCTTCCCCATGCTCCAGTGTGGGCCAGGATTCTCCGTGGTGGTCCCCAGAGAATGATTCATGCTTCTGGGGTTCGCTCCCTAAAATTTCTTACTCTTCACTCGTGATTATGCGGAGCATAAAACCCAATAACCTCGCTTAAAAAAATAAAAGCAAAAAAAATAAGATAGGCACAAATCTACCTGACGAGATATGCCAAGAAAAAAGCAGCGAGAAATACAAATATTGTACTTTTTGTCACCAGGCGGTCCCGCAGTTCCAAACAGCGTTCCTGGTTCGCGGTTTCCAACAGTGTCCAGGTTCGAGCCTTTGATTGCCGGGGAAGTCCATCTCGATCCAGGTCGTCCCAGGTATTCGAGTTATGCACCATGATCTCCTGCGGAATCCGGGATGTCGAGCGAGTCCTCGAGGCCTTGGGGGGGCGGTGTGGGGTGGAGGGAGCTGCGGGAGGGGGGTGGGAGGGGCGGCGGGGGGGGGAGCGGGGGGGGCCTGGCGGCGTGGGCATGGCAGACATGGTGGTGGTTCGAAAACTCGCTCAGGAATGCAAGATGCATTCGGCGTCGTGCCAGGTCGTCCGGGAGCTCCGTCGGGGCCAGGTGCGCCAGGAAGAGCGGGAAGGCCGGGATCTCCGACAGGGGCCTCTTTCACCAAAAAAAGGCGATGTGCCAACAAGCCGCTGCAAGTCATTAAATATTTAGCAAATAAATATGCGGAAAGAAGAATTGGCATTGTTTAAGAGCTTAACCTGGGCATTCTTGGAACTGCGGTGAGTCTAAGGCAAGCATAGATGGATTGTAGTGCCCATAACCAGCAGCACGAGTCGACCCTGGACCCGCCTGGGCTTGTGAGCTGGAAGTACTTTAAATCGCTCGCGTAGGGAACAGTCTCTCGACCTGCGATCTCCCGTATGCGCGAGTCGCCCGTTTTCAGCCGTCTGCCGGGAGATGCTTCTCGTCTCACTTTGAGATATTCTCCTGCTCCATGCGGCGACGACGCTCTAAATGGTCACAAAGTGGTTCGGATGAGATGAGGGACCCTAGAGATACGTGCAAGTCGAACTCGCCAATAGGCCCAAATCAAGGTTTGCCAAAATCGTCATGTTATCGACAAGATGGGTCCCGCCTCGACGGACGGACGGGGCGAGACATAGTGTGAAGAAAGAAACAGCAGATAATGACCCTGATCTCCAATAAAATGTTGCATCTTCCGAGACTAGAATGAAATTATGCGAAACCCACAAGCATCAAGCAACCTCGTACTGAACAACTTACCTGCAAAAAATGTCCCTCTTTCGTGCGGGGTTGACCGCCTTGGGCCTCATGGAACTTCATAAGGCCAAACTCAACTTGAAAATCGCCGTGTGAACGTCATGAGCGCATCTCTTAGTGCTCAATTTAGATCCGACTTTCTGTTTCTACGTTACAACTGAATCACGTGTTTTTGTTGAGCGTGGGCATGCGGCCTAGAACGATAGAAACGATATTTCGGCAAGAGCGGCTCAGATGATTAGAAGTAGCGGTCGTGGATGATCCGAGCTGTAAATACCGCCTAAACTTCGAGAACACCGATTTTTGGTCAATAATTCAGTGACGGCTTTTATTTCGGTCAAGGCAACAAATTCAAAACAAGAAGAAAAATGTTTAATTCGATTAATTTAGGCGGATTCTGCATGTGTGTACTCAGCTCTTACAGGAGAGCCGACGAAAAAAAATAGAAATTGAAAAAAGAAAGATTTTGACGAGAATGAAATGCCTCAGCTGCTATTTCAGTGTAAGTGATAGAACCAATTATTGGAACAGATCGCGATGAAAAGGAAGGAGAGCAGGAAAAAGTTGTTCAGATGGTTCTGGAGAAATATCTTAGAAAAAGCTCATTCAGATACACACCCGTTTCAAAGGGGAAGCCACTCAGAGAGCGCAAGCGGCCTAAATTATCACAAAAAACTCGATTCTTTATCCACTCTGCTGCATATCTTTTGATAATACCGCCCCAAGGAAACTTTTTCAGAAAACCGGCAAAAGCGAAATACTCGAATTCTCCAGTCGTCTATTGTCTGTGCTGATTCCTCTTACGAAGAACCAGCTTGATAAATAGCCTGTTAAGAAAGCATTGTTCAGAAGTGCGAGTAGATGGGGTGGTGGATTGGGAGAAAGTCTGCGAGAAGTCCGAAGAGTATGGTGTCCCGATCGCGGGCGCCTGATACGTAGCAGCCAGTGGACCGCGCGTCAGGTATCGTCTCGGTCTTGACCTCAATACCCACTGTCATGAAACCGAGCAGAGATAACCACCACACAACCACCACCACCACCCGAGAATACAGTACCGCTACGATCGCCTCCATATGACGTGGTCGATTCACCGAACATCGTTTCTCGCTGTGGAATTTTGCGCGATTTCGCGAAAGTTTTGCGCCGCCACATGTTCTTTCAACTTCTATCTGCTGGTGAATCGGATTAAACGTTCTTCCGCCTCATTGCAGTTCAATGAGTTCTGAAGGGGTCATGAAAACTAGGCGATGGTTCGCGCTCATATCTAAATATGTACTCAGTCCTAGGGAACGTTCAATGAAAGGTTCTTATTCGAAAAACTTTTGGCAGTGAGAGAGAGACCTGATATCTGAGGGAGAAAGTGGGAGAGGGGGAGGAGAACTAGATTCCATATATCTTTGCCCTCTCTGGAGTCCAGAAGAGCATGCAAAACAACAACTCAGCTATTCCTTTGGAAACCATCACCCTAAAGGTTTATTAAATGAAGATTCACAACCGATCACCGTTATGATATAAGCAAACTGTAATATGAAAGAATATCTCATATACTTCTTTTCAGACGTTTTTCAAACCACGAAATCGGCCACAGGTGCCCCCCCTGTGCGAGGAGACGTTGCAGAGGAATTAAAATGCAGTAAAATGATTTATTTGCGCCTAGTAAACGAGTACCTTTGAAACTGCATCGGAATTCGTCGTTCCTCGCTAGTGGGAGAACAAGAGTCCAGTTTATTGACTGCGCGCGCAATCCGAACTATTTTTTGTAAGGCCTGGATATTGACAGCATATCAGCGGATTTCGAGACTTGTTAACCTTTAGAGCATGGGAGCCTGGACTGAGGGAGTTTCGTCGAATTTTTCGTGGTTTTCCTGTTTCATATGCACTTTATACCTCTACTCCCTCTCAAGCCCGTCGAACAGCAAAATTTCCCCCCTGGGTAAAAGTAAGGAAATTTGAATTTTCCGGGAAATTCCAGGAAAATAGTAAGGAATTCTCGGAGAAAATCCAACCCTAAGAGAATGTTAAAGAGCGCAGATCTTATTTCCCCTGGTTTTTTTTCGGTTTCTCGTTTCACTTTGCTTAATTTTGCTAGCGAGGAGGAAGGGATTTGATACCCGTCCCCCTTGCTCGACAGCTTGATGAGGAAGGAACAAGTGTGGGGAGGGGCGTCGTAACCAACCCCTCAAAGAGAGGAAAACTAGACGCAATTGCTTGCCACCATCTCCCAATCCCAACCAATGATGTGCTCTGCTTCAAATACAAGCTTTTGTGGGTCTGGCGCTCATTTCGAAAGGAGGCGATCGACCAGGGTACAGCAATCGTTTTTGGAAAATTATTACCAAGAAGTCGTGCTGTTGTCAGGCTGGGCCGTAGAGAGGGAGTTGTTTTGGTCGAGAAAGGTTTCAGAAGTCCTGCCTTGTCACTGCCGGTGATTGTTGATTTTTCTGGTTTCCCGCAGATTCACTACACGGCTACAGTTCCACAATCATAATCAAAATCGCATAGCTGGAACTAGTAGTATGAAGATTAAGATGACCTCTCCACGCGGCAATTTTTTTGGCGAAAACTGGAAAAATTGGAGAACTGCTAGAAGCGGTACGAAGCTGGGAAAAATTGGGCGGATAATGGGTAGGACGGAGGAGAGGCCTCACTGAAAGAGCGCTTGGATGGAGGGGGGGGTGGTACTGACAGCGTTACCACCACGATAGATGGACCCCTGATCTGACCTTACTTTCAAGCTCTCAGTCTCTTTACTGCACACTTTGAAGTGTGAAAAAAACTACTCTGGGCTCACTGTCTCCAAAGGAGTCACTCCATCTATCAGATAACCGCGCAGTTAGCCCTCAAACTACTCATGCGCCTGTCCCACCATTATAGGCAACAACTGCCTGCAGCTCGTTCAGATGCGAAGATGGTACCCTCCGCAATTTTCAATCACCTGCTGATTTGATATTCGCAAAGGTTCGGAACGAAAATAGCATAAGGAAAAAACAGGGAGAAGTCCCAGTGTTTTAAAAGGTGGACGTGGGTGATTGCAGTGAACTTTCCTTAAACGTTTTCACTTTGCCATATAAGTCCTTAACCTTTCGTCCAGCAAATCCATCGAAATGTGTTAATTGAAATCGACGAATCGAGTTCACCCTTAATCCCCCAACTTCGAATGATCACACAGACAAAAAATTAGAACGCGGGTGCGAAATGAACTGCGCATTGTTGAACGCGCAAAGAATTCGATGCAATAAAGCACAACGTCCATGTTCAGTTTTCCAAAGCAATCAATGAATATTATTGCCCACGATGCACCAGAGAGCCTTTCGATAACTGGTGTGCCTTCAAAAAAATGGCTTTCTTTTTTAGAACGATTTTTCATGTGTTGCACCTATAGTTGATATCACTGCAGCTAGTCGGGTCACTGTCAGCGGTCGCGACCTGCGGCATTGCCACCAATGGTTGTTTCTCCTCCTGAGTTGATCATTTCCCGATCGCCATTGGTAGAGCAAGGCAGCCGCAGGCGGGCTTATGCCGCTCTGCGCTCGCCGCCCGACAAATTGCAATGGTACAAACTATATGTGCACGGTGCAGAATGTAGAAATAGGATCAATTTCCTCTGTGCAATAACCTGGAGGTGGAAAATTCCTTTAAATGCATCTC